TAAAAGTAATAAGTGATCATTTTTCTACTTCCCCCATTCAGCTTTGTGGAAGTACTACATTTATGCAATACAGAGTCGAATGTTGTGGGCTTATGCCTTAAACTTATGTTTATTTGGCAAGTGATGTTTGTTTTTAAATTTTTTCATACAGATGTCCTTGGCATCTCTTGCGAACTTGCTAACGCCGACGTGATAGTTGCAATTTTGGACTGTCTGACTCCAGTGTGGAATGACCCTTAACTACAAACAACGTTACACAAACTCCCCAAGAATTTAGTCCTACTGTAAATTTGTTCAGATCAGACAATGTCAGCTCAAGTCAAACTCACGGTCAGAATTGACGTCAACCGTGCTAACCAGATTTTTGCATTAATTAAAATGTTCCTCCTCCTCCCAGCCCCATCGTTTAGCCTGTTGCAACATAATTTAATGAGAAATTCCCGATATTATAATATTAATTGCTATAAAGCTTAAATTTTTTTGTTATGTTAGTAATTACAAAAAAAGTTTTAAACATAATCTTGAGGGGTATTCGAATTATAAAAATCCTTCAATAAATATACCATACATATAAATGAAAAAGATTAAAAAATTCAATACCTGTACAATGTGAATTGTGTCTAACAATTTGGTTATGCCAAGATATAATCAAAATAGAGAACTGTTCCAACGATTCTTGACGAAACAATACAAGTCTCAATGAGAATTCCGTGAGTTTCCAGTAATACGGGACCCTAGATTTCGTATGACGCAGCTAAAACAGCATTCCACAATAGACTCAATGCCACCATCGACCGTATTACATAAATCGTTCATAATAGAAGATTGTCCCGACAAAAACTTAATTGGTGGCGAGTGATTTAGTTAGCGGGCTGTTGATTGGCAGTTAATAGAGTTAACAATGGGCTCGTTGCTGTCGCAGTAGTAAACTTATAGTTTCGACTTTTTTATGCCTGCGTACACCCACCCACCATTGACGTCAAACGACCGGTTCGGCCGCGCGTGTTTAAGTCGGCTTGCATGCGCTGTTGTGCACGTCCAATAGGGCCGCTAAATACGCCTCGATTATTAATGTTTTCTTTTCTATATTTCTTAAATTGTACGTTGCTAAACGTCTAGAACATGTCTGCAGGACGAACTAATACATTCGACATCCTTTCGACTATGTTCGTACAAGTATTCGACATCGTATTGAGTACGACACATGAATAAAATTGTGTGCTCAATAAGACGTCAAAATATAGACGACGGGTTCCGTACCATTATCCATAAAAACGGCAAAAAAATCATGTCTGTTGTATAGGAGCCCTACTTAAATATTTTTTTATTCTGTTTTATTTTGTTATAGCGGCAACAGAAATACATCATCTGTGAAAATTTCAACTGTTCAACTATAACGGTTCATGAGATACAGCTTGGTGAAAGATGGACAGACAGATAGATAGACATACAGACAGCGGAGTATTAGGGTCCCGTTTTACCCTTTGGGTACGGTTTCCTAACAATGTAGGGGCATGCCAGAGAGTCGTCCAGATGTTCCGGTTGGAACGATAGAGATTAATTTAAGTACTTTTCTAAAATTCTTATTTATTAATGATTTTTGGTAGAATGAATGCCCATAAAATTTTGAATAATTGAATGTGTAAACTTATATAGTTTGTTGTGAGGATCGGAAGAAGAGGTAAAAACGGTAATTATTTTAAAGTCATGTTGATTAATTTCTTTTTCAAGAACGAAGTCGTAGAGAATTCCTACCACATTTAAAATGCACCACCACACAAATGCAGAATGACCAAGTATGAAGTTTACGGGGCGAACTTCTAGAGTCATAGATTACTTTTAGATCAAAAGTAGTTCTAAATGTAACCAATGCTCTGATTGCCCTTTTATATATTTTCGTTCTTTAATTAGTTTATATTGACAAGTAACCTCAGTATCGTGAGGGAGATATTTGAAGTTGATTTTGTTTTTTATTTTAATAAAATTTGTAACCGTGTAACAAACGTTTCGTGTACAATTTATAACACTGCCTATTGCGGGTCAGTTGTGTGTCACTAAAGGCCCATTTACATGGTGCCAGTTTCTTGCCTGTTGTATACAATTAAATTGAAGCAATAAATGAGTTGCATGGTCTAAACAACAAATGGTCTAAACAATTATTGCGGCGCAATTTATTGCATTCAATTATTGCTCTTGTATGTACAAGAAAATGGCATCGTGTAAATGGGCCTTAATTCTATTCATGGAATTAGTAAAGCTGACAGTCGACTCGATATCGAAAGCGCTAACAGCAAAGATAAATAAAGTAAGATATACTTTAATTATGTTATTAATAAAATATCATTTATTAATTAAAATAAATTAAAATTGAAAGGGAATATTAAGAAATGCGTGTTGCTCTTTTAAATAGATTCCGGATTATAAATGAGATAAAATAGATCCTTATATCACTGGACATACTACTATAATATTACTTCGTCTAAAAATACTATTGGTATTCGTTATGAAGCCTTCTCGATTGTTAACCCTGAGAGATCAAAAGCCCGAAAGCTACGCGCGTCAATACTCTGGTCGTTTTATAAATTCATAATGGAAATTAATTAATGCGAACCGATAAGAACTCATTAGAATATTCTTTGACTGCGATGTCATAAATTAAGTGTTATTTAAATTACATATTAGTATCTCATTACATTTGATAGAAAATGCTTAGTGATTTAAAAAAAATGTATGTATGTTGTACCAAATTAATTTTAATTACATATCAATGTAGAAGATTTGACAATACAGTGCAACGATGGCAGAGTGCTTGGGTAGTCACCATCGGCAAAGGAATAAGGTAATCAATCACATAAACAGCCCGAATTTTAACTGAATAAATTATTATTTGAGAATAAAATGTTTTCAATTGCGTCTGCCACATTGATGTTATAAGTGGTGTTATAGTGGATACGTATGCATTGTACTGCAATTTTAACTGGTGTTTTAGAAACAGAACCGCCGTTTGACTTAATCACGGGGGCCTTCATATTGACTGCGACATTGAGTGTTAAGTGTCAGAAATCAAATTGCGGTTGTGTGCGTCGCGAGCTCGGCTCGGCCTGGGGTTAGCTCCGTGTCGAATGTCTGACTGTGTTATTTTTAACGACTGTACACGCGGCTTATTCGATACGTCTGTAAAACACTATCGGATTATTCTATGTTTCAGTTTTATTTTGTATCAATATAATGTAGTATGATTAGGCGTAAGTCCCGTTTCGTTGTTCTCACGAGACTATATACACATTACTCAATTAAACGTTTTTGCGAATACAGAGCTTATTTCGCTTATTTTGAAACTAATGAAAGACTGAGTTAACAGTGACATTAGTATGTCTAAAGCCTCTGTCCGACTCGTGACGATGAACGCTACGAGATTTTAAAACGGGAAAGAAATTGAAATTAAACGCGAAAAGTAATTTATTTTTCATTACTACATTCATTAATATAATTGCTCTTTGACGCAAAGACATATATAGATATTATAAGGAGCATATATATACGTTTATATGAGAACTAGTACCTCATAGAGTACTCAAGAAATTTGCTTAGGGAAATTGAACGTATATTGCTTCAGTCTTTTGTAATGTCTGCTTGTAAAGTGAAGTCTCTGCCTACTCCTCTTATTAACAGGCTTGCGTGTTTATGCATGCGTCGAATGTTGCTTTAAGAACTGCACTTCGTTATGTCGTTTTATCGGTCTCACTATGCGCGGCAAAATGGTAATGACGTCAATGCTTAGAGGTAAACATTTTGCGAGCGCATATCGTATTTTTATGCGGCAATTTGTAAAGGAATTTATTAAAATTTAAGACTCGATGGAATTTGTGCAAATATTTGTCAGTAAATCTAAAACATAATAAATATATCTTGCATTATTAGCATAATGATCAACGATAATCATAATTCGGATTATTTATATGATTTTATTTCTTAAGTTGCGTATTAATTATAAATTTAGCTTAATAATATTATATATTCGAATATATATCCAAGTAGTCTGAGAACTCAACTCTATGACTTCCTAATAATATGGTTGAAACATATAAATACCGGCCTACAATTAATACCTGCTGAATAGTTTGCCTGATCCAATTTAAAATATTATATATTAACCATCTTTAAACTTTGTTAGGATATTTTTTCTAATTCTAAACCATGGAGCGTTGGAAAAGTTTTGTGATCACAACGATGTATCACAAATTCTATCTGCTGAATGATAAACTTATAGGAAACATCTGTCTTATGTTCAGTCATATCCCATATACTAGAATAGTTGAAAAAAATAAAAATTTTTCGAAGTTAATGTGTAATTCATTACATGTTACAATTCTATAATGACTTGACCTTTACATTGCATGACATTTTATTCAGTTGGTTTTTATTTTTTTACTCTGTGATACGTCATTTTACGTCTTTAAATTCTAACAAGGTAAAAAAACATGTGTAAGTTTTATTATCAGCTATTAATCGAGTTTTGTACAAAACTGTCCGATAAATGCAAGGAAACTAATTCGTGCGAGAAACTGGGATTTAAATTCTGACCCAAGGGCGCTACCGACTGTAATATTATATTATCCTAATAATTAATAAGTATGTTTAATATATTATTTGAGTTAATAGCATAATCGGCGCGTCGAAGGCAAAGAAGAATGCTTCGGAATTCAAACAAAAACACAACTGTAAGCAAATTCAAAAAAAAAAAAAATCAATCAATAACAAAATCAAACGGAAAATGTTAACTGCTGTCGTATTCTTTGACTTCGGCGCTCATACAAGTGAGTAACTTGCGAAATAAATTAAAATAAGCCGTAATATTATTAATAAATTAATTATATGTAAATTTCTCGCTTGTTGGCGCAAGTTACCGGCTTCGTATTCCGAACAGGTCGCTCAGGATGCCTTAGGTCCCCGATCATTGTTCTTTCGAGAGATTAAAACGGTAAAATTGCTTGTTCCAGATGTTAAACACCGAATGAGGGCTCGGTGTCCTGAGCGATTTGCGGAGTCGCCGCCGCGACGCACCAGGTGGAGCTGTACGAAGGGCCTCTGCTTCTGGAGAAATTTAATGTTGAAGGCTGGCTTCAGCGAGTATATACCGATTGCCGGATAACTAATTTTGGACACTCAAAATAGTAGTGTTGGATAGCCAATATTGGGTACTCGATATAAGTCGCGTATATACACGCTAGCTGGGTATAGCGTATTACATATATTAAAATTCCTAAAGCATAACGTTCAGAAGAAAGCACTCGACTCTTTCGCCTTCTTCAAATTACACCAAACTAATTATAGCATAGTTAGATAGAGAAACATATAATTACATAATTATTTGTGGTTGAGCATTTTCTAATGTCGTCGAAGCTTGTAAAGTTTCTGTCGAAATTTTTGCCCAGTTGATCTGTGAGCTTTATAAGAACTAAAGTTTGATACTAATATGCACCGACTGCGTTTTCTTGAAAGTATAGAGTTTAAAACTCAAGCAAATGTGTTCTTATTATGTGAAATGTATGCAAAACATTCCAATTCTTACAAAATCGTTTATTTTCGACAGTCTTAACAGAAATAACGAAAGTTTTCTTGACTTCATTAGGTTAGTTTTTGAAATATTATACTAATATACAAATACTTCATATTTTCCCTTCTTTGTTTTTTTTTTGTAAATTTGTTATATGTTTTGTATTTTTAAAACAATAGAAAAGGGAGTGATCAGAAATACAAACACAAAAAGTACGATTGATGGTAGCGTCTATAAGCTTTTGCGTTTCGAATCATAGCCCACCGGTTCTGCGTCCGATGAAGCTTTAATAGTCTCGGGACTGAAAGCAAAAACATCAGTTAATACAAGATACAAGATACAAGAAGTTTCGAATCTTTTAGACTTAGCTAGGACTCAATTTTCAAAGGTCTACATGTATTTGGACTCAACTTTTTTCTCTTATTTTTCTGTTTTACATTAATTCGTGCCGACCAATTTATTAGGTAAAGGAAAAAGAGTTTGCATTGACTGGCGTGGCCTGTTCGTTTAGTGTGAGTAACCCCGACAGTCTGTGTATAGTGACTCAAGTCCGTCATTGCATTCTTGATCCTGAAACGAAGTTATTAAGTACACGGCCTCATCCCAAATGAGATCATATCAGTCTGCTGTGCACTCAACGTTGTCCAGTTAATAATTCTTCGATATTGTGTTGGAAATAATATCGGTCACTGGATCTTGATTAATTCATCTCAAAAGAGAAAATATTAGATTCGCGATTTTTAAGGCCTTCAAGTCTAACAGATTATAACTACTTCGATTTGGACAATTACGCATCTGATTCTCATTTTCGTTTATTTTGTTTCGTAGTAAAAAGGATGAGTTTCTCAATTAGGTTGTGTTTGTGTTTTTTTATGGTTGTTCAACCTACCTCAAAACTACATCATTTATGAACCAATTAAAAAAAATTCTTAATTATTGATATATAATAATTTCATAGGTATTGGTACTTGGACCTCATCAACAGAAAATGTAAAGATAGTTAAATATTTTAAGTTGATTTTCTTATTGAAGTTATACTTCTTTTGGCGCGCTTGGAAAAATTATGAGAGTAAAATTTTTACGATGCGTGCACATACCGAGCCTCAAAAAGCGACAATGCGACAAGCGATGTTTGTTAACTGATTTAATCTTGGCAACTAATAACTTTTTGACGTTTACCAATAATTCCAAGTTATTTGAAAAAAACCGTTATCGATTTCATTTACTGTCTTTACACTAAGGAAGTATGACATTACCTGCGGACATAAGTACACACATTTTTTTAAATTATTTTTTACTAAAATTATTTTACTTGTATCATTCCAAATTAAGTGATCAGCCCCGTTTTTATTGTCCTACGAGTCGGTTATCAATCAAGACAAATGATTAATAGCTCTATAATTTTATGCATGGATATTTCTCCTCATATGGTTTAGAAACGTTTCTCAAATATTTTAATATAAAAAAGACGACGTCTTCTGTTCCAAAGTCAAAACTAGTTAGGTTGATTCGTTGTTCTTTATAAATATTTGCAGCTATCTTTCATGTTATCTATTATATTTCTTATTATTAATTTAGCTATATAGGGATTAGTTAAAGTATATACTAGATAAAATAAAGAAATGTTATTAGAGGCAATATTAAATGTATGATTCTCATTACATAAATTTCGTTAAAACTGTATTTAAACTCTTCTTTGATTTAAGTAAATTATTATTCTGTTGTTAATTACCAGTCAAGTATTATCAAGTAGATTTTCTTAGCACATTCCTTTATTTATTAGAATGATTTAAGCAATGTAGAAATATTTTAAAATATAGCAATCAAGAATAACAAAGAATGAAACATATCATGGTATAATTTTAGTTACTATTTAAATTTTATTATTTTGTATTGTAATTAGATATACTCAAGTTGTTTTGCATAATCACATATTATTCACCCGTATTATTTCTTGCCTTTTAAGTAGTTTTTAGATGTATTATTGTTAAATTTTGCTTATATTTATGTACTGTTATAAATATTATGTTTATTCATAATTCATAGATTATCTATTACTTGTTATTGACTTGGTAATGAGGCTTGTTAAATGACATTCAGTGACGTCAAACTCAGGTTTCATTTAGTGCTTTGTTTTTTAAATTGTTATTAACTTCATTATCGATACAACATGTATGCTGAATAAATTTTAATGATCGTTTTTACATCTGTTCTGTGTATAAATACACCATTATTGTTCAAAAAAAGGCAAAACATTATTATCTTGATTTTTTTTTTTCATTTTCATTTAATGTATTCTTGATGTAACTTAAAATAAATATCGCACCTTTTTTGCTAAGCAGATTTTTTTTTAAAAAGAACTTCTATTTATCTATGTATCATTTTCGTCCGTCATCATTCGAAACTTAAAAACCAATTTGGTATAAATAAAAAGTGAGGCTTATTATGCAGGCGGGTTGCTCAGGTAGCGTAATTAGATCACATAAAAGGTTCATATGTAGTGGTTAGTACCCTTTCATCGCCTGGAATAAGACTGCGAATGCTTTGTCGACCTATATTGACTAAGAATACTAAGAACCCTTCTTTTGTGCAATTTCCTCAGTCTCTTTAAATTCTTATTACTATTACAGTTCAACGTCTTCGGATTTCTCGATTATTATAAACAGTTAAACCACCATTATTTCTTTCTGTCTGTAAATACTATGATATTATTATGAACTAAGACTGACAATAGCTTTTTTTTTCAATTTCAAAACGTGAACCAGACTTGGGTAAAAAGGTTTTCGATACGGAATATCAACGCCTTTATCGGACCTTTTAGAATACAGCAACGAATTCCGTGACTTAATAAAATGAAATCAAGGACAATTTTGACAGAGGACCATTTCTTATTAATATTAAAAATTGCTTTAAAGGAAAGGTTAAATTTCAAAATGTCTAAAAATAAGATTTAATTATATTAATTCTAAGTAAAAATGTATTTTAAAAATATAAAAAAGACTTTTTTAAAACAATAGATAAAAACATTGTTTTCGACGTTTTTAATCGTGTATAATTATTTATTACTTTTATATTTGTAAAAAAGACCGCGCCGATATAATTAATTTGACAAAAGAATAATTTACTTTTGGTGCACCAAACATGTAGACTGTCTTAAATCTGTAAGATGATTTCTCCCCGTTTCTTATCTATTCATATTGTTTCTTTACATTTAATTTCTATGTCGAACTTTTGCTAGGTTAATTGCACTCATTAAATTTATATCATATGATAATTAAATAACTTGCAATATTCGCATTTTTCCTTTATGATATTAATCAAAAAGAAAATTGGAACAAAGATTTTAAATTATTGTATACAAGGCATTTATGCTTTTCCTTCCTGTTTTTAATAGCAATAGTGATATGTAAGAGTTATATCGAAATTTGCTTTATGATTAAGTAAAGGCGCATTTATCGCTATTGTATTAACATAGGTGCTTGTGGTCATAATCACTTTGTGATTAATTATTATGCATACCAATATTGCCGTTTTATAGTTACATAAAATAAGTGCTAAAATAAGTTTTAATAAATTTACAAAGAGTACATTGTTATTGGGGCTTTTGTCCAATGTGGTCTATTGCTAAGATTATATAGGTATTATTAGTTCTGGCGCTACTATTTAATAGTGGTCGGTCGGTTTCTTTGTATATCCTTACTATATATTTAATTTAATTTAATATTCAATTAAATCCTTACTAATATTAATATTAAAAACGCGAAAGTTTGTATGTATGGATGGATGTTTGTTACTCTTTCACCTAAAGACTACTGAATGGATTTTAATGAAACTGTACAATAATATAGCTTATACATCAGAATAACATATAGGCTATAATTTTTCACATATTTTTATGTATATCTGTCTTTCTGTCCGAATGTTACGCTTTCAGCCTATTCTACGCAGACGTAGTCGTGGGCAGCAGCTACTTATATGTAGAAAATAAATCTCTTATTTTGGTTGTAAGAGAGTCCTTATTAATAAAAGTATACAGAAAAGTCACAAATGATTTTTTCGGAATATCCATCTGTGCTTGTGCAATGAGGTGCCAAAATACAAACACTTCACGAAAAAGTTAGCTATCTAATGAGGCAACAGATTTATTGAATTATTTAATATTCTTATCAGTATTCAATGGCGCGTTCCTAAGCTGTTGGCTTCGGCGTCGGGGGTCGTGGGTTCGATTCCCACATGGGAGAAGTATTTGTGTGACCCACAGATGACTGTTCTGGATGTGGGCGTTTGTTTTGTTTCCTAATAAGGGTTGAGGTCAGGTAGACGGCGGGTCATAAAAAACTAGCAAAAACCGACTACTAAGTATATTCCTTCGCAACCAGAGTTGGTTAAAGCATCACTATATAGTATAAAACTGTCTGTCCCTATGTATGCTTAGATTTCTAAAACTACGTAACGGAT